TATCACCAAACTCCAGTTTCAGAAGATTTATGACTAGCAGTGCCTTGTTAAACTAATAATACAGAGTCCTTAAGGGGCCATAATCTTCACAAGACCCAGTTTCAGTATTTCACAAGGATGTCATTGTTATTGTCCTAGCTATCAAAATATCTGCTCAAAAGAGTCTGCCTTGGGACATAAAAGTGACTGTCCTCCACTATTTTAGCTCAAGCAGTCTAAGAAAAAAGTGACTACACTCACAGAAGCCCTGATCCTCTAATGACCTTTGAAGACAGCCCCATTTCTTTGATTGGAAATATATATATTTGTGTAGACCTAAAAAGAAGCTGAGGCCAACATACAGCATGGATTTATTGAGCCAATATGATGACTGCATCCAGAGAGACACATAGTCAGGTCACCCTGAGAAATGCGATCAGAAGGTGGCCAGCAGAGCTTAGCATTTTATAATCACAAGAAGGGGGAAGGATCAAAGAAGAGAGGACAGCCCCACCTAATTACTTCATCAGGTTTTCTATTGGTTGTACATGACATACAAACTTGGGATTATTAATAGGTAACATCCTATATGCAGGGATTTAGGGTAAGGGTTATGAGAAGCATTTTAGTTTATTTTATGGCTTTCTGGTACCATTATGTCTGTTTCTAAGTTAAAAATGGTCTTATGATAGCGTTTTCCAGGATAGGTGGACATGACTACTGACAAAGCATTATAATTTAGCTGACCTGGTGAGAGCAGATTTTTTTGGTTATCATTTGTTAAATACTAACATGAGTTAGCACAGAAAAAGTGGAAAAACTTCTTAGTTAATTATACAAAGATTGCTACAGATCTCACTTAGGAACAAACATGCAAAACTCTTACCAAATGCATAAAACTTTTGTAAAATGAATCTAGCAGGATATGAAAAGAACAGACATAACGACTCAAGAGGTGTTATACTAGGACTATAGGACCTAAATACATAAAAGTATATGATAAAGGTAGCATTTAATATAGATGGGGGAAAGGATTGATTACTCCATAAAGACTGCTGAGAAAATAAGCTCACACAAGAAAGAAGGAAAAAATGCTTCCTTCCTCCTACCCCATATTTTTAAAAGACAGATTAAAATATTCAAATGTAAATCTAAACCATATGCAGAAAAAATACAAACATTTGTTTATAATTTTGAATCACTTTCTAAGCATGTTGCCAAAGTCAGAATTAAATACAAAATTTCACTAGATTTACATACAGAAAAATCTCTATAAAGTAGAAAACCTCATAAAACAAAATTTAAACACACATGACAAAGTGGGAAGATATTTGCAATACACAGATTAGGTAAATAGCCTGTATGATGGAATATGCACATGAGCGAGAATAGGCAGCATAACAGTTAAGAGCATGGGTTCTGATATCAGACAGCTGAGCAGAACACCTGGCCTGTAGTCAGGGCAATAAATGTTAGCTATTGTTCCTCATAATAATTTTTTAAAAACAGACCTACAACAAATAAATACTTTAAATAAAAGTAGCCCAATTAAAAAGTAGCCAAAGGATATATGAGGGTACTTCAAAAAGTTCGTGGAAAGATTCGTATTATAATTCTATTTTTCCATGAACTTTTCAAAGTACCCTTGTACACCCAGTTCAGAGCAGAATTATTCACAATAGCCAAGAGGTGGAAACAACCCAAATGTCCACCCACAGATGAATGTATAAACAAATGTGGAATATACATACAATGGAATTTTGCTCAGCCTTAAAAAGAAAGGAAATTCTGACACATACTACATGGATGAACCTTGAGGACATTATGCTAAGGGAAATAAGCCAGTCACAAAAAGATAAATACTATATTATTCCACTTATATGAGGTATCAAGAGCCGTCAAACTCATAGAAACAAAGTAGAATGGTGGTCGCCAGGGATTGGGTGGATGGGTGTGGAGAGAGGAATTGTGGGAATTGTTTAATGGTTACAGAGTTTCAGTTCTGCAAGATGAAAAAGTTCGGGAGAAGAGTAAAAAGTGGGCAAAGGATATAAATGAGATAATCACAATGATAAAATACATGAATAAAATCATATGAAATAAATTCATATAAAGATAAAATCATATGAAAAAAGATTTTTAACCTCTTTTAGTAATAAAAGATAGCAACTATTTAAAGACTGCCAACGGCCATTGCTGGGTAGAGGTGGGAAAACCAGCCCTCATATGATAGTAAGAGTATAAGTGGTGGAACCATGGTGGGGGCAGGGAAGGGAGGGGTGCAGCTGGGGTTAGCAATAGGATTCAAAATGTAAATGCGCATACTATTTGACCCAGGAATTCTACTTCCAGAAATGGAGAGAAGAAAATGTCTCATTATTGGGATACTTTGACAGATTAACTGCATATTGACAGCAACAGTTCCTTCCTACTGATAGTATTACATCTAGGTAGCAAGGCAAGTCAAAAATGCAACCTATCAGAAATAATAATGATCCTCACACATTTTAGGCTACGTGAGGGCAGAGAATCTGTCTTGTTTGCTTCCTCTGTCATCTGGCACATAACTACCACTTAAAAATATTTAATCTTGCTTCAGTGATCCAATCTTCACTGTGCTAATTTCTTTGGGGGGGGGAGGGCAGCTGGCCAGTGCAGGGATCTGAACTCTTGACCTTGGTGGCTAATCGTACATGGGGACCCCAGTAACAGTTCACAGAATTACTGTAAGGATCAAATCTAAAAAAAAGTGAAATATGTGAAAGCACTCTACTTTGGCACTTTACAATATAGGCATTTTTTAAAAACTGCCTCACAATATTAGCACTCTGCTGAGCTAGGTGTTCAACAAGGATTTATTCAACTGAATACGCACATTAGAATATTTAAAAATGGAGAAAGAGACTAAAATTTATTATGCACGTTATCTATGCTAAGTACTTCATATATGTTAATTTAACCTTTCCAACAACTCCATGAAATTTTCTACCTATAGGTGAGGAAACCGAATAACTTGCCAAAGGTCACACAGCTGGTAACTTTCAGAGATGTTATACAAACCAAAATTTGTATGACTCTGAGACCCATACTTATTCATCCATAGCACTGACTCTCAAACTTTTTCATGGAGTAACCCCAAATTGCAAAGGAAGACAAAAAACATATTCCCAGGGGACCTTGGGAAACTTCTAATATGACCAGTGTAAGTCTGATCCATCTCTGACGTCTTACGTTTATCTTAAAATTTATTTTTATTTTTGCACTTTACTTTACAATATATTAATGCCTGTTTAACATAAAACATTTCAAATGACTCACAAGTTAAATCATTCAACTCTTCCCTCCCTTAAAATTTTTTTTTTGTTGTTGTTGATAAAACTGACAGTGGAGGAAGGTGTACCTTCTGTATTTATCCCACAGATTTGTTTAGTTCTTGGTGCCTGGCTTCATAAACCTGGACCCCAATTTGAAAGCATGACTGCAGAGCAAACTGCATTAAAGAAATCTTAAGAATGATGATGAAAATGATAACTATTATAGGATCAGAAGATATTAATAACAAATTGTATAGCTACACACAGAGTCGACTCGTTTCTTAACTCTCCACTGCCAATGAAACAAAATCTAAGCCTGACCAATTCCATTGAGTTTGACCAAACTACTGCAGAGCTATCGCTGAATGTGGTAACACCATGTCTTCACCTAAGAATCTGGTTATTTTATAAGCATAAGCATGAATTCTCCCTGAGGACAATACGTATGTAATGCCCACTGAGTGCCCAGATGCAGATCATATTAGAAGTTAAGCAATGGTACTGAGTGGCAAACCACATTTTGACCAGTAGTACCAGACTTTCCCTGACCTATCAAACGGGGTACAAACACTTCTTGAATTCTCTCCCTCTCCAGGAGGGGCTCACAATTCGGAGTTACCTCAGGGTAGTAAAAGGATACTAGTCTTGAATTTTGGCTTCAAGAATACTGTGCTCTGAGCTTCTATGTCCCCAACTTGTAGCATGGCTCTAAGCATCTGCAACACGTGCGATTTGCTAAAATACTCAAAATATGTTGTTTCCTTTCTTAGACCTTATGTATTTGAAGGGCTGATTTGCAGTACATTTAGAGAGTTCCTTTAACCTGGGAAGAAAAGTCAAGGCTAAGAATCACCGCCAACGGGTAGCGAATAAGTTACTCTCCTAAATAAATCACACTGACGTAGGCAAGGAAAGACCGCATAAATCACCTTCCGAACTGCCTTCCAATTCCCCCAAAATTCTGTATTTTAGATACGGTCACTTCCACGGCTTGAACGCCCCTTCGCAACTCTACCAGAACAAGAACTCTTGCGGAGCCCAACGTTCCCTCTCAGGACCCAAGGAGCCCAGGCCCAGCCCACTATGGGGACATTGCTTGCTTACTTTTCCAGCTACTTCTTAAACAAGGTAGGTCGTGAAGCTGTACCGGTCTCAGAAACCTCCATACTTGACTCGCGGAGAGCCGTTGGTGGGTGCGGGGACTGGCGCCAAGCGTTCCCTCGCCGGTTGGGGGCTGGCCCACAATGCCTCGCGAGGGCGGGAAAGGCGTGGGGGGCGGGCAGGCAAAGGGGACGGCTGGCAAGAAGAGCCAAGAGACTGGAACTCTATGATGAGCATGCAGGTCAATCCTTATATGACTGTTAACGACAAATAAACCGGTAACTGGCCAGTGTGCACCTGTTACGACCACTACTCCCACTCGGGGAGATCGTTCCTATTGTCTCTGAGATTTCACCCAACAGGCCAGGCCGGAGGTGAGGAAATGTGGTGTGTAGGCCACATTGGGCCTGCCTGTCCATCCTGTGGACTCCATCCATCTTTTTACCGTCAAGGATGTACATTTGATGGGGAAACCCTAAATAGGATTTGGAGGAATCACAATGGAAATGCTGCCAAAGTGTGAAATTTTGCATGCTTCCGCAAAGCGGTAAAGCCCAAAACCTCGTGCAGTAAGGCCGCAGGCCCCGCCCCTCCCGCTTTACGTCTGACGTCACACGGCGCGGCCGGGCGCGGGCGTGCGAGGTTTAGGCGCCCAGGCTTTGAGGCTTAGGGTTTGCACTAGTGCATGTGTAGGCGTCCCGCTTTGAAATGCAGCGGGATTTAGTGAGTTTCCCGCTGTCTCCAGCGGTGCGAGTGAAGCTGGTGTCTGCAGGTTTCCAGACTGCTGAGGAACTCCTAGAGGTGAAACCTTCCGAGCTCAGCAAAGGTAACGACTACCGAGTGAAACAAACTGAGGCACACCGGCCGCCGTGGGCGCTGCATGGTCTTCGTTCTCCCGCCCCAGGCTTCCGCCTAGTCTCGGCCAGATGCTGCGGCCTCCCGCGACCGCGTCTACAACGTGAAACGGCGCCTTGACTCCACTTAAAAGTTGTCTGGTTAGGAGAACTGTGGTCGTGATTACATTTCTTAATTGCTTTCTCTCTAGCGGTGCCTGCTGGATGCTTTGAGGATTATCTCATTTATATTCAAAAGAACCTTCTGACGTGGTTCAGTATATGTGTGTCCAGCAGGTAGTTGAGAGGACTGATCTCTGATCTTGGGGAGGCTAAGTAACTTTTTACGATAACTGTGTTAGGAGATAGTGGAGCTAGAATTGAAAACCAGACAGGCTGTTTTATTTTTGCTGTTTCAAAATACAAAGGGTGGGGATTAAATTCCAGAACTCGTGTAAGACTAGAGACACTAAGCGAGAAAGGGAGTAGAATTCCCAGAACCTGGAAATAGCAGTACAAAAAAGACAGCTCTTCTGTTATGTACTTCACTGAAAAACCCAAAACATATTCCAGAGTACTGCAGATTATACGTTGGTGGGAACCACTGCATCCTGAGATACACAAAAATGAAGCTGGCTGTAGCCACTCTCGCTGTGCACATTACACTGTGATATGCCCAGACCTATGCTAGTCACTGAAGAAAATAGGGCAGAATTTTAAATAATTGCCTTTAACCATGGAAAATCAGGAGGTTTCAACTCACCACTCAGGAGTTTAACTTCTGTAGGCTGGCCCTTTTCTCAGCTGGTCAGAGCGCGGCCTTGAACACCAAGGTCAAGGATTCAGATCCGCATACTGGCCAGCCACCAGGGGAAAAAAGGAATAAATATTGTAGACCCAGCGTTCACAGTTTTAATCATAACGCAGACTGTACCCCAAAGTTTGATGGGCTCTTTTTCTTTCAACAAATTGTTTTTCCAAAGAAGAAGTGAGGGACTCAACAATAATTGCTAATGATTGTTGACCATTTTGGGGTGGCCTTGGTATTCTATGAAGCTTTTTCTGTGTATTGTCTTATTCCCATTTTATAGAGGAAAAAAGTATGAGACACAAAAAAGTAACTTGCCCAAAGTCACACAGTAAGTGGTGCAGTCAGAATTTACAAACCCAAGCAATCTGACTCCAGAATTCAAGCTCTTGAATAGGATTTTAATTTCTTAAATACTTATCACCAACATTGTCTTGTATTAGCACCAGCTTTATAGTTCATATCCTTGCTAAATCAAGCACTGATATATGAAACTAACAAGTGATGTCCTCCCATTTTTTTTTAATTTTTAAAATTTTTAAAAAATTTTGTTTCTCACGCACGCAAGTGTTTTTTTGTTTTTGTTTTTGTTTTTCCCTTTCTTTTCTTTTTTTTTTTTTTTTTTGGCAGCTGGACTTTTTTTTTTTTTTTTTTTCCCTTTTTTTTTTTTTTTTTTTTTTTTTTTGGCAGCTGGACAGTACAAGGATTGAACCCTGGACATTGGTGTTATCAGCACCATGCCCTAATCAACTGAACTAACCTGCCAGCCCATCACCACTATTTCTTTAGCAGTTTGTTTTGTAATTGCTATTTTCTCTTCTCCAGCCATATTATCATATAGGAGTGAAATTGTATGGTTGAGGAAGTATAAGTGTATTACTTGAATTTTTATGCATCGAATAATTGTTCTCATTAAGTAGTTTGGAGTGATACATGAATTTTTTATGTCAGTGTTTCTATGAAAAGTTTTTATTATGAATTATACATGCACATGTACTTCTTAAAGCTGTACCTTGTTTTAGGTAGTTAAGCCATTTTCATTCTTATCTGAGAAATAATATGTATACCTTATGGGAGCAAGATAAATATGGCTTCATAAGACTGAAAGGAATAGTAACAGGACTGACTGCTAGTACATTTTTATTTCTACCTCCTGAGATACTCTTGTAGGTACCCAGAAATACTTTAGTTGAATTCTGTTTTTCAGGCAATAGGTAAATCTTTATGTGATGACTGAAAAAACAAAAAGATGCCTTTTTTTAACTTGAAAAATTAAATAGTTAATGGAATGTCATATTTTTATGTTTCTCTACTCTCAGCATCACTCTTGTTATCTAAAATTTAAAATTAACAAGACAACCCATTATGTTAGACTGTTAAATCTCTAAAAATCAGGGTTTGGTTTCTTTTCCTTATTTTACTTTCAGAAGTTGGGATATCTAAAGAGGAAGCCTTAGAAACTTTGCAGATTATAAGAAGAGAGTGTCTCACAAATAAACCAACATATGCTGGTACATCTGAGTCAGGCAAGAAGTGTACAGCGCTGGAACTTCTTGAGCAGGAGCACTCCCAGGGCTTCATAATTACCTTCTGTTCAGCACTGGATAATATTCTTGGGGGCGGAGTACCCTTAATGAAAACAACAGAAATTTGTGGTGCACCAGGTGTTGGAAAAACACAAATATGGTAAAATAAAATGTTCTGGTCTTAAGGGTGGGCTTAACATTTTATGTAAATAATAGAGTATTGTGCTGTAGTTTTATAGTCAAGAGACCAAAAAAAGGCATGTATGTACTCTTAATTTTATGTGTGTGTGCATCAAACGAAAATCAGTTGATATTAAAAAATGTTTCTTTTGACATTGTTAAACAGGTTAAACAGTCAGTCTTCTACTTCTATTAATTCACTCCTGAGAATATATTTGAAAGTCAATTTGAAAGTAGATTTATGTATGGGAAGTAGATTTATGTAATGGAAAGGATTCCATCCCCAGAGGCCTAAAAACCATTAAAAAGTCCTTCATAGTGGTTTTATAGGCACACCCTACCCTTAATCCAAGTATCAATTGATTCATATATATCTGGAGCTGTAGAGAGTTAGACATCTCTGTTGCCTTGGGGAGTATTTGCATTTACTTTTAGTGGTACGTAACTGGTCATTATCTGGAGTTTGAAAAACACTGCATTAGATGATCCTAATAATGGTTTGGTCATTTGACTTCTTTTTCTTAACAGTATGCAGTTGGCAGTAGATGTGCAGATACCAGAATGTTTTGGAGGAGTTGCCGGTGAAGCAGTTTTTATTGATACAGAGGGAAGTTTTATGGTGGATAGAGTGGTAGACCTTGCTACTGCCTGTATTCAGCACCTTCACCTTATAGCAGGAACACACGTGGGAGAGGGTAAGTTAGCAAATGATCCTCTTTTTTCTATATAATAAAAGTAATTTGAATTTGTGTTCATCTCAGACCTCAGCAAGAGATTTGGAGTGCAAAGTTTAATGACTTGACAGTTTTCTAGTGTTAAACTCTCATACCTCTGTTACAAAATGAGAAATTTCACGACCTGGACTGGCCTTTTTTCCCCTTTCACTTCTTACTGCAGGAGCTTTGGGGCAAAACCTATGTGTGTGTTTCAGCATATGACTTCAGATTATTATACTTCAACTTGTCAAGTGTAAGCTTGTTGTACACCTTGATATAAACAACTGTTGTTAAATGCATTCCAGTGTATATTGACCTCCATACTGGTTTGGAAACTGCATCTGGACATGTTTGGAACTTAAGCTGATTGACCTTTGGAGGCTTTAAGTATATATAAATTGACTTTATAACTGTGTTGATTGCATTGCTAATGTGATTGAGAGGTTTTTTTGGTGTTTGTTATGTGGAAATAAAGTGTTTGATTTTAAAACAACTTTTTAGAAAGGTAATTTATATTCAAGTTTTTGTCATTTCCATTACTTATAAAATTAAATGGCTTCTGGTTTGACTATTTTCTTTTTCTTTCTTTTTTTTTTTTTTAAAGATGACCGGGATCTTAACCCTTGACTTGGTGTTGTCAGCACCACACTCTCCCAAGTGAGCCAACCAGCCATCCCTATACGGGATCCAAACCCGTGGCCTTGCTGTTATCAGCACCACACTCTCCCGAGTGAGCCATGGGCCAGCCCTGGTTTGACTATTTTCTTTTGCTTTCTTTATTTTATTTTATTTTTGGATGTGCAGTTTTTATTTTTTTCTCTAGAAGTTTTAAGAAACATAATGCTTCTCATGAGATGACTGTGTTTCCTTTAAATGAGTGTAACAAGCTGGATTATTATTTTTTTCATGGAGATACTAAGTGTTCCATTTAACTAGTGATCATTATATAGATATAATGGATTCAGTAGACTGAATGCTATATACTGGCAGAATATGCCACCCCAATATATTCCACTTTGGCCTAAGGATTATTTTGAGCTGAAGGCAATTGAGAAGAAGCAGATAAAGTAAAGCTGTCTGCCCTCCCTCTATTTTCCTAAAAGCAGGACATAAATGTACAAAGGTGTCTCCTCTCCCTTCCCTATCAGGAATGACAAAGTTAGTGATTGGAGACAACTTTAGACCCTTATCAGCCTGGAGGCAGCATCAGAGGAATCTATGTAAACTTTACTAGCTAGCCTTTATCTTCCATTAGTTTCCCATATATTTGCCTTCCCATAATTTGCTACCCCTAGAGACTCAAAGTTCTTTTCCTTTGTCACTTCTCTTAAAATTTATTCTTTTGGTAAAATAAACCCAAATTCTAACCAAACCTTTGAATTACTAATCTATGGACCCCCGTGTGTTACATTCATGATGTACAAGTCAATAAACTTCTATATGTTTTTCTCTCATTAATCCTTGTTTTGTCAGTACGATTTACAGGACCTCAGCCAGAAAACCTAGGAGAGTAGTAGGAAAAAGAATTTTTCCTCTCTTCTTCTTTGGTGAAAACTTGACTTTTTTGTGTGCATGTATTTGCAATAGGCAATGTTTTTCTATTATAAAATATAGTTTCTTGGCTTTTTAACATTAAAATTTTAAATGCAATAAATTCTTTTCTGTCTGAAATATGTATAAAACCAAAGTGGTTATATTTTTAAAATCCAGTCTAAGGAGGATTTTATATCATTGTTTCTATGTAAATGTCAAATTATAGTACAGCATTAAAGGGGGAAAATGTGTTAAGTAAAACTTAGAGGCGGCCATTGTTTTAAACTAAGTTTCTGTACACTAGGCCTCAACGGACCAGACTAAAAATCAAAACGGAGTTACCCATGCTAAAGTTCCACATCACCAAACCCCCAAACAGCCAGTATCCCAAACAGTCCAATTTAAATTGTCAATCCAAAAATAAATAAATAAATAATTGTCAATCAGCATGATAATGAGATTCCCTTTGCTTTTATTTTTTTCTTTTGAGGCTGACAGGTATGGGGATTCGAACCTTGATCTTGGTGTTAACAATACTGCCCTTTAACCAACTAAGCTGTTTGGCCTGCCCCTCGCTCTGCTTAAATCCTTATGCAAAAGAAGTAGCCTGATGTTAACTAATCAGTTATTTTTCTATTCTGTTTCCCTGTCCCTGCTTTATAAGAAAAGTAGTAATACACTCTGTTCTTTGTTTCTACTTTCTTCAGCCTTTCTGTCCATAAAGCCAACCCCTTCTGCTCAGCTTATTGGAACATTTAATTCTATTTTATGGAATGAAGTGTTGCTTGATACTAGATCAAGTATCACTTGATACTTGATACTAGAATCTCAGTAAAGCCAATTGAGATCTTTAAACTAAATTTGTTGTAATTTGTCTTTTGACAAATGCTTCATTTGAACATATTTCCTTTGAGCTCTTAATTTGTAGTCCTATGGAAAAAAACAAGAAAGAGAAACTTATGTTACTTCTGTGCAATGGAAGCCAATGACTGGAAATATGAAAAGGCAGGCATTAAAACTCTAGTTGTATGTGTGTACAATTTATAGATAGCCTAGTATGTAAGGAACAGTGGAAAAGTGATAAGATGTCAGGAATTATGAAATGATAGTTTATAGTAATTTTATTTTGCTACACTTTTGTCATATTTCAATTAAAGTGAAGAGTTTTGTTATACAAAGTACAGCATTTTGTTATTTAAAAGTATTGTCTTCCTACAATCACCAGCATATCAAAATAGGTAAAACTAATTATTTTAAAATTGTTTTATTGTTTGTTTCAGAACACCAAAAAGCTTTAGAGGATTTCACACTTGAAAATATTCTTTCCCATATTTATTATTTTCGTTGTCATGACTACACAGAGCTACTGGCACAAGTTTATCTCCTTCCAGATTTCCTTTCAGAGCACTCTAAGGTATGGGACAAACTACAGAAATGTAACTAACCAAGTATATTTGGAGGTGTTTGATAAGCTTGAAAGGGCTGGCCAGTTAGCCCAGTTGGTTAGAGCATAGTACTGAGAACAGAAAGGCCCAGAGTTCCAGCCAGCCACCAGGGAAAAAGAAAAAAGATAAGCATGAAAAATAACTAAGTAATACAATAACATAAAATTAAAGTCAAAGCCAATTAAAACATCTCTTCTTTCCCTGCCCTACAGTTTATTTATTTTGCACACATGCGTGCTTGTACACGTGTGTGTGTGTGTGTGTGTGTGTGTGTGTGTGTGTGTAGTTTATGCCCAAAGTAAGAAATTGAAATAATATAAAAAGAGGTTCCACCTCCAGTAATAATAATATAGAAAGAGGTTCCACCTAAATAGCTCCTATCAAACAGACTTGTATAGAAAGATATGAAATGAAAAATGAAGACTTCCCTTTTGCTATTTCATCCTAGTCCTCTCCCCAAAGTTGACCACGATTAATATTTCTTGTGTCTTTACAGAAAAATTTTGTACATATTGCAGCATCTATCTCCTCATCTTTAACATTTGTTCATGGGATTACAATCTGATATTGTTCTATACCTTCCATTTTGGCTTAAAGTGTTTTGCATATGTTTCTGTATCAACACATAAGGATAGACCTCATTCTTTTTTCGGCTGTATTTTTTTATTTTTTGGCAGCTGGCTAGTACAGGAATCTGAACCCTTGCCTTTGGTATTATAACACTCAGCTATATATTACTTTATTTTAAGTAGGAAATTTAATTTATTTAACCAGTCCCCCATTTAACCAGTGAACTTTTATTTTATTTATTTATTTTAACCAGTGAACTTTTAGATAGTATTATTAATGGTTTGGTGATTATCCTTATACATATATCTTGGTGAATATTTGTTTATGGGGTAAATTCCATATTGGAATTTTAATCTTAAAGGGTATGTGTATCTTTATTTTTTTATTTTTTTATTTTTTTGTCCTTTTTGAGACCGGCCACACCGCGCTCAGCCAGTGAGAGCTGTGAGCACACCAGTCATCCCTATATAGGATCCAAACCCACGGCAGGAGCGCTGCTGAGCTCCCAGCGCCACACTCTCCCGAGTGCGCCACGGGCTCGGCCCTGTATATCTTTAATTTTGATAAACTTTTCCAAAAACAAAGATTCTCCTTGACCAAACTTGGCCCCCATCCTGCCTTTGGCCTGTCTGGCCCAGTCTAATCAAAGAATCCTGCTGTCAGTATCTCTCGCCTTTGATAATCTGATCAGCTTTGATATCTGATCAAGTTCCTCATTTCCCACCTTTAATGTATAAATCCTTGACCTACCTTTAGCAAGAATCCTGTTAGGTCAGTTTAGTAAGAATTCCCTTACCCTTGATGTCCCCTGTTAGTAATTTTCCTTTCACTGACCCCTTCCTTCACTCTACTCCTTGGCTGTAAATCCCCACTTGCCCTTGTTGTATTTGGATTTGAATATAATCTTTCTCCCCTGTTGTGATACCCCTATAGCAATAGTCTTGAAAAAAGTATTCCTTGCCATTTTATTTTTATTTTTTTATAAGGTAATAATTTGGGGGGGGCACAAAGCAAGTCTTAATGCATTTGAAAAGACTAAGATCATAGAAAATGTGTTCTCTGACCACAATAACAGAAGGAAATTTAGAAAATTCACAAATGTGTGGAAATTAAACAACACTCTCCTAGAGAAACAGTGAGTAAAAAGAAAAACCACAGGGAAATTTGAGAGTACTTTGAGAAAAACATCAAAGTGTAATATACCAAAATTTATAGAATGCCCAGTGCTTAGAGGAAAGTTTATATTCCTTACTGTTTTAAGAAGTGTTAGAGTAATTTTTTCTTTAACACAAATTGTTATTCAAAAAGGTTGCACCAATTTCCACTCTTATTAACAGTATATATCAATGCCTGTTACCCATCATCATGACCTTATGGATATTTTTGCCAGGATTCTACATAGAAAATGCTATCTCTTTGTTATTTGATTTACATTCTTCAGTTATTAATGAGATTGGACTTTTTTTTATATTGTGTAAGTTGGCTACCCTACAGTTTAAAAAAATTTGATCATTTAATATTTCTAGATGCTAAAAATTATATTATTCATTAACTACTAATGAAACAGTAAGGCTAGGCCTGTGAACTAAACTGACTCCATTTTCCCTGCAGAGGACACTTTGTTACTTTTCCACTCCTCAGTCATGAGACCCTTCACGGCAAATGATTACCCCATGGGCTGCCCTGACAAAACAGACTGAGATAAGAGAGGAAACAGACATCTACTGAGTTGCAAAACCCCTCCCCAAGGCTTGTTTACTATAATTGTAAAAGTTACCGATTAACCTTAAGGCCCCTTTAGGAATTCCCACCTGCGCACAAAGCATCAAGGTGACAGCTACAATGACCCTCCTGGGGTGAAAATGATGAACACCACTGCCTTTTTGGACCTACTGAGCGTGCACCCATGATGCAACCAGGAAGGACAGAATGGACCACCTCCAGTGATGCTGGCCTGCCACCCCTTAACTCCTTTCTCTATAAAAGACCCTGAACAGCTCCCCTCAGTGGGCTAGCTTTACTGTCGCTACCCCCCTTATGCATAAGTCTATCTCCTCTTTCAACAAAGTGTTGCTTGCTTTACTGTTGGGTACATTGTTTATTTCTATGACTTTGTAATCTGAGAGCTTAATTTAATCACTGGCTTTGGGTACTGGGGAGGACTCTAGCTGTAAGAGGCAGGTGGCCACTGGGACTATTTTGCTCCCATGTCTCTGCTGCTGGTAGATCTCTCCTGGAGTCCCTGGCCTAAATTCTGACAAGGCAAGGCTTTATTCTCTTTAGCTTTCTCTGATTTTTTGAGCCCTCTTCTGTTTGGTTGGATTGTATCCACTTCTGTATAGGTGCACCGTGGAGGGCTCCTGGCTATGCTTTGTTTTTATGATTTAAACCTAGTCGATACTTTTCTTCTTTCTGCTGAAACAGTGGGGAAAACTGCTTTTATCAATTACTGTTAATGGAATAGGTTGGACCCGCCGATTAGGACTAGGCTAAACTGGACCCCACTGCTCCTCTTTTCTCTTTGTTTGTTTGCTTGGTTAGACATTTAGTTGAGTACCGGTAATCTGAATTAACCTTCCCGTAGAGGATTCCTAAAGCAAATGTACTTCACAGGGCCTGGTTTTCCAAAGCCTTGCAGTTTCAAATATTGACCTTGCGGAGGACTGGAAGTTTTCCTCAGGCTATAAAGTCTCTGGTATAAGATAAAGAATTCTAACAGCAAGGTTGCTGGCGCAAGGGCAGACTAGTTACTGATTGATGTGTAAAGATACTGGAAAATTGCTGGAGGGAGAAGAAATGTTTGCTAAGATCAAGCTTTTGTTGGTGGATCACTTAATTGTCCAGTGGAATGTCATCTGACTTATTTCACTGAAAGTTACCAGTCTATATTGTTAAACTATAACCCAACCTATGTTCTCTTCCTGTAACTTCGTGGTCTGGAAAATAAATGCAGGAAGAAAACCCCAATTCGGGGATAACTTCCCAAAGGAAGGGATGCCTCTCACTTGAGGGTTCCAGGGAAGTTAACTACTTCTGGACTTCTCACTGCTCAGAAGAGATGGGCTGTGAGTAATCCTTTGTGGCTCCATCACCCAGGGGAAGTGGGGTGACAAATCCGTGGGGGACAAAGCAATACCTTCCAATCCTTGCATCAACTTTTGGACTTTCAGGTCGTTTGTTTAAGGCAAGAGGGCAAGCCGAGCCTGACCTGTCAGTAATGCTAACCAATAACCTTCTCTTTTAATATGTTCATCATGGAGTAATAGTCACTCTAATGGTTTGACTCCTCCCTGAGGCACTAAATGCTAAAGATAGGTTTGGGATATTGCAGGAAATTGACACTTGTTGGGAAGTGATGGGGAGCCATTTCTTTTCATGGGCCTACTGAAAACCCTTTCATTTCAGGTTTTTTGGAGGAAGGGGTACTGGAAGTGTATTTTCTGTTTTGTTTCATTTTGTTTTTTAATCCAGTGGCAACTTACTTTTGATAATGCAATTATAAGGTCAGATGCTAATTTGACCCATGGATCTGGGGCTGGCTGTTATCTCAGACTGGGCTGAGATTTCTGCTCATTCAAAATGCAGTGCCAATAAAAAAAAAAAAAAAAGCAACGTCCCAGTAATTCTCCATCTTTAGTGTGCATTTCACCTGGAGGGCTTGTTAAAGTGTAAATGGATGGACCCTACCTCCAGAGTTCTGATTCATTATATGGATATGGCCTGATAATTTGCATTTCCAATAAGTTCTGATGTGAGAACCATTGCTTTTAAATGCTTAGATGTCCTTAAATGCTCAGCTTTTGCGGGGAGGATTGGCCAGTGTAGGGATTGATATCATCTGAACTAATCAGTCAGCCCATAAATGCTTAGCTTTAGTAAGAAAGGATAAACAGCAGGGGGTTTTGGCCTTGGAAATGGGGGATGAGTACTGTGTATGGAAATAGCCTTAAAAGGTTGGGAAGCCTTTTAAATTTACAGCCTTTCCCTACTCCCCCTGGCTTTGTCTCTGAAATGAGGTTATTTCGGGAAGGAAAAACTTTTCCTGTGCTCTCTTAGGTTAGTTTCCTGGGGGCTTGAAAACTAAATTGAATTGGAGGGCACCCAGCTGGTGTACACTGCGGAATTGATTGATTGATTGCTTGCCAGTGGGGAGAAATTATCACACATTTGGTCACAGAAGTCAGTTTTCAGTGAACATAGTTGCTGATAAGAGTATAGGGGAAACACTTAACTTCAGTGTATGTTTTTTTACAACAATCAGGTCCTAAACATCAATCAGAATTTTTATTAGTTGAGTTATTCACTGAGCTAACATTTCAGCTTTTCTCATTGAATCAACTTGCTGCCCTTTTTGAAAATCACTTGACTGTGATGTGTGAGTTTATTTCTGGACTGTATT